AGTCAGGGTCTGGAACTAGCTGCCACATGCTGTGATTTCGGCTGAGAGTGTGGAATCATTCAAGAGGCGATTGGACGATTTCCTCAGGGATTGTAATATACAAGGGTACAAGTACTTTTAAGAATGGGAATACACAGGGACCTATATATACGCCTTAAGTCTCCATAGAGAGGACCGGTCACATTATATCCGCTATTACATAGGGGCCTGTTAAAAAAAAAATAATAAAGTAACAGATTAAAAAACATTAAATCCCCCGGCCACCCCCCCACCCCACATACAACTCAAACACGCGTCGGATATGCCTACATGCAAAAACGAAAATTGTGCCACATGTTACATATCGTCCGGAGGGTCAGAGTGACAGCAACAATTCTAGGCCCATCAATCACTGGTAACACTAAACTGATGAGCCGTAAAAGTGTTTAAAGTGTCGCCTATGGGAAATTTTGGTTATTGTAGTTTTTTGCGGATTGACAGACGCACACAATTTTCAGGCTCGACATGTTTGGTATCCATTTACCCGGCGTGACCGCATCTTTCATATTTTGCAAAAAAATTGGGTATTTTCTGTTTCTGTGCACTAAATTTATTTTTAGTGTATTTTATGCTAAAAATACTTGTTTGATAAACATTTGTGCAAATACCGTGCAACATATTGTAACTAGCATCTTTTTATTCTACAGGGCTTCTGCTTTCAGAAAATATATATTTGTTTGGGTGTCTGAAGCAGTTTCCTAGCCATAAATTCAAATTTTATCATGTGTGCGCAAATGTAAGAAATTGCTATGGACAGCAAGTGGTTAACTAGAGTTGCATCCTAATCCTACAATTGACACAGCACTATGAGGCTGGGGCAACAGGTGGCATATGAGTCTTAGGTAATAGCTCTTTCAGCCATGGCTGCATCCTAAAATAAACAGGCAAAAAAGACAAAGTATATGCACAAGACATCAGGGAGGAAAGAGTGCCCAGCACACACAGCACCTAAGTGAAGTGCATCCCCTCCCCCTGCGTGTGGTACTGTAGCACTACTTACCACTGCAGGCTTGGGCCTAGGAGCAAATATCGCAATCCTGCCCTTCCTCAGTGTCCTCTATTGGTAGCAGTGGTTATCCCCCATGCTGTACAGCTTCAACTTTTGTGTTGCGGCATGACCACAAGTGCGTCATCCTATGGCTAACCGGACGGGAAAGAAAACAAAATGTTTCGAAATCCTGGATGGTAGGAAACAATCTAAACTGCAGGACGAGGGGGTGGGAGGGGTTACTAAACTGTTCCAATTGTGTTTCCTGTAGAGGTAGCAACCAATCAGGTTGCTGTCCTGGAAAATCTTGACAGTGTGCAGAAATTATTATTTAAGCCTAATGAGTCGGTCGGCAGCTCCTCACAAAACATGGGCTCCAAAGAGATAGGTCACCCAGATTGAGACATCCACATATAATAGGACCTATGAATACACCAAAATAGCATTTTAGAAGAGTCTTCCATTCTTTCTCCTCCCCGCTGGGCGCATTCTGTGCCGCAGCGGGGAGGAGAGAAACTATAACAGGCAACCGAGCGCTGCGAGCGGCCAGCGTCTTTTCCCCCTGCACCGCTCAGCCTCCTGTCAAAGATCAGAGGCGAGCAGTGTGGGTGGAGAAAGCCAGCGCCGTCACAGCGGAGGGCAACCAAACTCATCAAGGGGATGGAGGACCAGAACTATGAGACAAGGCTACTAAATTTAAATATGTTCACGCTGGAAGGAGATTAACGGGGGACATGATTTTCATGTACAAGATGTTCAATGGTCATAGCAACAATCTCTTTAAGATTAATTCCGTAACACTAGAGGCTACACCACCTAAAATTGGTAGAAAAAAAAATTCCAAACACAAGGGGCGAAGAGGGTTCTTCTCAGTTTGAGCTGTTAGGGTTGCTGAAATCCCTGCCACAAGCAGCGATTTCAGCAAATGGTGTGGAATCTTTCAAGAAGCTTTTGGACGATTTCCTGAGAGACTGTAAAGTACAGGGGTACAGGTACTCTTAAGAATGAGATGACTAAGGGACCTACACACACACCAGGTTGGACTTGATGGACTTATGTCTTTATTCAACCTCCAATACTATGTAACATACTCTACCCTCATGGTATGAATAAACAGGAACACTATACAGTATAGAGGATTCCTGTTCAGGGGCTGCAGAATATTTAAAAAAAAAAAAAAATTGAAAAAAGTTAAAATGAAACATTTCCGGTTTCAGTCTGAGATCTTTTTTCATTTCGGTTTAGAACATTTTCATTTTGGTGCACCTCTACTTATTTCCCTTCCTAACTGCTTGCGTGAAAAGGAGTTTGAGCCAAAAAGTAGAGGTAATGTGCCAGAACACATTTAAGCTCCCCATTACAAGGAAATAGCTTTTCTCCCATCAGCAGCTACTCTGCAGGAAGGAAGACAGAAGGCTGAAAAACCCTGGTGCCTAACATGCAGCCCCTACATTTGGCCCTCCGCATGTTGGACACTGCAAAGTGGCTGCGGGATGCTGAGACGCTCTATCAGGCAAAGTGATCTCTGCCTGATAGATAAAAGTCCCACGTCATCAGAGAGAGTGTGTCACAGCGTAAGAAATTCGGGTGTCGAACAAAAATATATCTATTTAATAATGCAAGATGGGTTCCTGTAAGAAATATAATTAGCCAAAAGGAAGTGTGTATGCTGCCCAAGTGTGAATAGAATTGTAAATTAAGGACGGGAACTTTTCTGAGATCAGTATAATTAAAAGGAATTACTTAGTTAGTATGAAAGTCAACTGTCATGCAAATCTCCCTTTTGGTCTCTGAGGGCAGATATGGTATGGTCAGTGAGTAACAAAACAGTCTTTTCTCTTTGAGATTAATGGTCATCTTGATATGTTAAAATGGTCAACTGCCTTTACACCAAGTGGTGTTTGGGAGTGTCAGGACTCAGGAAGATAAAGCTTAATTAATATGCATGTATACTCTTCTCGGAGACAGAACGGAAGCAAACAGGTTATGGCAAACCTAGGTGTTATTAGATCAAAGACCTCAGTTGCTATCCAATCATCATGAGATAGCTCTGATTATGTTTTGTGGACCAATCATGAGTCCCTAATGATAGTGAATGAAGGTAAAGAGGCTCAAGCCTGATAGGTCAGACTCATTGAGAAGCAAGGAGGAAGCCCATTAGAGGGAGGAGGCCATCAGAAAGACAGCTGGAGAAGGCCATCAGAGGAACTCAGAGTCCAGAACCTGTGCAATCATAGGACTGGTAATATACATGCACCAGATTGGCTAGTTATGCTCCAACCAGTTTATGATATATTATGTGTTGTAGAGGTGTTGGGTTGGTTTCGGCTCTGATTTAGCATTGCAATTTTATTATTGCTGGTTTACTATTGATACTGATTCACTGATTGATATGTGCAGGTTTAATTCTTTGTACAATATATTATTTTAAGCCGGTTTGTGGTGTGTATTTCTTAGCTGACCTTCCCCTTTCGAAGAGAAAGTGGGCATTGATAAATACAGATATTTATTAATATTCATATTCTTTGTTTAAATCACCCCCATTTTTCTTACAACGGGAGCATGTGATCTGGCAAGTAAACACTGAGTGGGCTGCCACTGATCACCAATGCAGGGCATTGGGGTTATTGTTGGGGGTCATTGGCACCAATGCTGGAGGCCCAAATAAAAAAAACCTAGTAGAACCACAATTTGTATGTGTTGAGCCGTGTTACAGCCCATTTTGAATGGGATGACTCATCAACAAATGAAAACAAACTGCTATTACGCAATCCTCTGGGCTGGGAGGCCCCTCTAATCTCCAAGTTGAATACCACTGACAAAAACCTGGGATTCCAAAGTCAACCCCTGAAGGCAGGGGAAAAAAAGCTGGTAGCACTTTGCCCCCACCACAAACCAGATAAATTGCTATCGTTTGTGGCAAGTCAGTAAATGGTGGTATGTGTCCTTGATGTCTATGGATGCTAAAAGTTTCCACTAGTGGACAGAAGCAACCACTGACCATACAGATTAACCTTTGAACTTGTGTACCTTCATGAAGGCATTGAGGACCTTCAGGTAAAGGATAGGTCAAAAACTGTTCTTCTTGGGAACTGGAATAAAACCTTCTGAACCTACTTGAGGGGACTGGGGCAATCACATGCTGTGCTAAAAGGCCCCCCATTTCAAAATTGAGGTCCTGTAGACATTGAAAGTTAATATCTAGGGATGCACCGATACCAAGTACAGTACACGGAACAAGTACATGTACCGATACTTTTACAGCTCCAAGACTAGACTAGAGAAAAATTCAAAAGTTAGGAGGCAGCTGTCATTTTTAAAGGAGTACACGGAGCGCCTGGGATTTGTACATCTGTTTTAATGTATGATTTTGTTTTTATAAATAAAGTGATGCACCGATACCAGTTTTGCAAGTACATGTACTGGTACTTGCCATAGTACGAGTACTGATACATTTGTGTTTGTCATGTTACAGTTTTTCTAAAACAATATCGACAAATTATTTCAGGACAGTGGTGGAGCACCAGAGCCAGGTCCCAGCTGCAACCACTGCAACCTTGGTAGTTCTCGTGAAAATGCCAAGTATCGGCATTGGTACTCGAAAAGTATCGGTGCATCCCTAGTAATATCACTATTATCCATTTTTTTTTGTAGGGGTACCAACAAAATTTGTTCTGGCCGTTTTAGAAGACCTTGTATAAAATACCTTTATGGCTTATTTAATTTTTTTGTGTTACTCTATTACGTACTAAGGGCTTGAAGGTATAGATAATTGCTTTTAGTTTCTTCGCTTTTCAGGAGGAAAGAAACATTGTTCCAATGAGAAGGGAACAAACACATTTGCCCATGTTTGTAAATACAAAAGATCTTAGCAGCTCACAACAAGATCTGTAAGAATTAATAAATGGGTCATCAACAAGAGATTTACAAAATGTAGTAAGGATTTGCAAGTAAATTACAAAATTAAAGTTACCTTTCTTTTTAATTTTCGTTGGTTTTGGTGGCTTCATGTTTCCAACCACTTTTTCAGCATTAACATCTGAAAGCAAACCCTCCTGCTGTTCCTCTTCAAAATCATACACAGACACATCAACATCCTTTCCTTCTTCTGTATATCGAAGTTTACTTTTCTTTGTCTTCTTGGTTTTTTTGACAGGTGGTGCATAATCCGGATCTTTCTGCCAGGTAGATTCTTCTTGTGGCTGAAGCTCGGCTTGTTCTAGAGTTTCCACTTCACCATTTGCCCCAACCTTAACAACTTGGAAACCCTCCGGAAGAGGCAAAGTGTGACAAATCATAGGTTCTCCTTCTGGAAGGCCTTCTTTGGCTACCTCATTTTCATAAGCTGCATGAAGTTCGCCAACAGATGTGGCAGCAACAGGAAGAGCTACAGGCACCTGCACAAGCTGGAGTTCTCCTAGATTTATTGGTTGTTCCTCCATATTTACAACTTGCAAAGTTATTATCTGTGTATCATCCACAGTAGCTTCCCCTTCCTGAGACACTACACCTTCCATTACCTCTGTTTTCATCTGAAGAATTGCAGGATCAAGGTGCTCCATCATAACCATTTGAACATTGCTGTTAACATCATGGGGTACTTCACTACCATCTGCATGACTATGCACTATAACACAGCCATCATCATCAGCAACACCATCTCGCCGCCTCTGATATGTCTTGGTTTCCTTTCTTTTCATAAATGTCTCGGAGTCTTCAACAATGGCCTCTGCCATATCTCCTTCCATTTTCACCAACTGCAAGACAAAAGTTACATACTTAACAAAAAAAAACACCAAGAGGATGTAACTTTACATACGGACACAAAAAGGCATTTAGCACTCATTCACGTGAAGCGTTTTGTGTAAAAAAAAAAAAAAATTCTATGGCCAAGTTGTCATCTGAGCGTTATGTTGCTTGTAGCAGAACGCCAATAAAAGTGGTAGATTCTGCACTTCTTGGCCCCATAGAAGTCGATGGAATCGCTCAAAAACACGCATTTGCTGCATTTTTACATACGTTTGTCCATTCACAATCAAAGTGTCACGATATGCTCACAAAAATGTCCTGCTCAAAAGCTGCATATTTTATGTCGCTCAGACTGTGACTCAGAGCCGTCTTCCCTGGCAATCAGGAAGCCGGGTGGCATGTCATTACCCGCTGCCCCGGATTCCTGACTGCCCGGGAAACCGGCTCCATGCCAGCGGAAGCACCAGTAGTCTGTATCGGCGAGTACCGAAAGCAAAATATCAGTACTCATACTCGATACCTAAAAAAAAAATAGTATTGGTGCATCCCTAGTTTTGATTAAAACTATTTTTTTGTATTGGAACAAGTAGATTGTCATGAGGGGCAAGTAGATTCGGCCCCCCGCTTTAGCACTTGGTAGCAGCCCATGTAGTTTTTGTTTTATTTCCACACCCCTGCACCAGCTAATTTAGCATTAGAATGTGTGTTGACAAATCTTCCAAGAAGACTACCCCGAGCCACAAGGGTAGAAAGGAGCACCGGAACCAAAAGTCCACAACACTGATGCACCACTAGCCAACAAGCAAGCCAGAGATTGGCAATATTATAATCCCCTGTAACAAAAGGCCTAACTGATCCAAAATACTACAGAGTGTCATTACATAAAAGGAGTTTAACAGCATACCAAGTGCTCAGGGTTTACACAAGTACTTGCAGATTAGGGCTGCAACAACTAAATCGACATAATCGATTATAATCGATTGAAAAAGTTGTCAACTTTTTCAATACTCGATTAATCGGCTTCTGATCAGTTGGCCCTGTTCATGGCTCCACACACGCTGCGCGCCGCACCTCCTCCCCACCTCACGCTCGCCGCTGCCAGACCCGCCCACCAGCATCCACGCTCTTCACGCCGCACCTCCTCCCCGCCTCACCGCCCGCCCAGGGACGCGGGGAGATATAATTAGGAGGATCAGGTGTGGGCGGATGACAGCAGCTGATAGGTCCGATCTCAGAAGCAAGTTGCTGGAAGACTGCTCAGGTAAGCCTGCACTTTCCCAAACATGGTGCTCTATAATGTATTGCTGGGATTTGTATTCCTCTAAAGCTGATGGTACATTGTGCTGTATATTATACAATTGTTGCAGCTTCCCACACATGGTGCTCTATAATGTATTGCTGGGATTTGTATTCCTCTAAAGCTGATGGTACATTGTGCTGTATACTTCCCACACATGGTGCTCTATAATGTTGCAGCTTCCCACACATGGTGCTCTATAATGTATTGCTGGGATTTGTATTCCTCTAAAGCTGATGGTACATTGTGCTGTATACTATACAGCACAATGTACCATCAGCTATAGAGGAATACAAATCCCAGCAATACATTATAGAGCACCATGTGTGGGAAGCTGCAACAATTATTCGATTAAGTCGATTGAATTGACGATGGAAAACGTTGTCAACGTTTTCCATCGTCGATTCGTCGGCTAAAAATGTAAATCTCCGGCTCGCCGCTCACTCCCGCCTGTTCGCGGCTCAATACACGAGCTACGCACGCCACACCCACCGCACAAGCCCTAAGCCGGACACACGCCTGCAGAGCACGCCACCGCGACTTACAAGGGTTCAGAAACAGTTAAGGGGGACCTGTTTTTCCCCCGTTGGTCTTCAAACATCACCGGTCACACATGCCAGGAGTAACGCCAGGCAGCAGAACACTGCCATCAACACCACTGGTAGTACTAAGAGTGAAGTTGGACTCGTCATCGGATTATCACAGAAGTCATCCAGCTACGTGATAAACACTACTAGTATTGCCAGATCAAACCCACCTCACCTCAACGCTGCCCTCAGGAAACCCAAACCTCTTCTGGACTATGGCAGTCAGTGCTCCTTCTCACCGAGGACATTCTGGGTCCTGCCATTTTGAAACCGAATGCCCTCACTATTGACTCCCAGCTATGTAATCTGCAGTGTGCCTCTGTATTATACATTGGTATTCTGTATTGTATTGTGCATGGTACTCTGCATCGTATAATACAGCGGCACAATGCAGAATACCACCGACCAGAATATTATATACACATCTATCTAGTCGGTGGTATTCTGCATTGGGCAATGCAGAATACCAATGTATAATACAGCGGCACACTGCAGAACACCAGCAGCTATAGAGGAACAACAAATCCCAGCAATAATACATTGTTCCTCTATAGCTGGTGGTATTCTCCATTGCGCTGTATAATGCATTGCTGGGATTTGTAGTTCCTCTATAACTGGTCAGTGGTATTCTGCATTGCGCCGTATAATCATTATACAGCGCAATGGAGAATACCACCAGCTATAGAGGACTACAAATCCCAGCAATACATTATACAGCGCAATGCAGAATAACGCCAGCTACAGAGGACTACAAATCCCAGCAATAGTACACTATATAGTGTACTATTGCTCCGATTTGTTGTATTCCTCTATAGCTGCTGGTATTCTGCATTGCGCCGCTGTATAATGTACTATATTGTAATACAAAAATTGTATAATGTACTATATTGTAATACAAAAATGAAAGAATCATTAAAAAAAATTAAGTCCCCCGCCCCCCCCCACATACACACGCAGATATGCGTAGGGTGCGCCTACGCGCAAAAACCACGGTTGCGCCTATTGTGCCGCACATGTTACATATCGCCGCAAACGTCGGAGTGAGAGCAATAATTTTAGAGCCATTAATTACTGATAACACTAAGGCATTGTTCACACCAAGTGCGTTCCAGTAGAGCAGAGCAGTTACAGACCGGATCAAAACTGCGTCCAATGTATACCAATAGTATTTTGGGCTCTAGTTCACACCGCAGCGTTCAGTTCCAGAGCATGTACAAAAAACTGCAGCATGCCTTATTTTACATGCTCTGGAACGCATGCAAACACATCAAAACCGTATGCAAACGCCCTGGAACGCACTAAAAGCCCATTCTAAACTTTAAAGAAAAACTTTTTTTTTAACTAAAAACGGCCCGGAACGCATCAAAAAAGCAGCACAACCCACTGCGCGTGCAGAAACTTATGCAGATCTGGTCTGCATTTGGTGTAAATAAGATCTAAACTGATGAGCGGTAAAAGCGTCTATGGGCAATTTTCAGTGTGGTCGTTTTTTGCGATTTTGCGGGCGCACGCAATTTTAAGGCTTGACATGTTTGGTGTCCCATTTACCCGACGTGACCCCGACTTCTATGTTTTACCAAAAATATGGGTAAGATGGTTTTATAACATAAATCAGGGAAACTGTTTTTTTTTTTACATTTACAGTACTTTTTTTCATTATATAGTAAAAAAAACAAAAAAAACATTTTACTATATAAAATGAAAAAAAAAGTACCGTAAATGTAAAAAAATAAAAGTTTCCCTACGTTCTGTTATAAAACATTTATTCTTAACCATATTTTTGGTCGTCGGGTAAATAGACACCAAACATGTCAAGCCTTAAAATTGCGTGCGCCTGCAAAATCGCAAAAACCGCCCATAGACCCATAGGCGACGCTTAAAACGCTTTTACTGCTCATCAGTTTAGTGTTATCAGTGATTAATTGCCCTAAAATTATTGCTCTCACTCCGACATTTGCAGCGATATGTAACATGTGCGGCACAATAGGTGCAATCGTCATTTTCCCACGTAGGCGCACCCGACGCATATTTGCGTGTGTATGTGGGGACTTAAAAAAATAGTTTTTTCTTTTTTTTTTATGATTCTTTAATTTTTGTATAATTTTTTTTTTAACACACAACTTTATTGCTATTACATGGGGGGCTAAGAAGCCCCATATGGGATAGCCAATTTACATGACAGATCCTCTTTAGGGAGACATCAGGGGTCTCCAAGAACGCTAATGTCACCAAGGGACCCCCAGAGAAGCTGATGAAGCAGAGATTGGCTTCATCAGCTTCTGTAGCTGGAAAGGGACACTGAATGCAGGAAGTGATGTAATATACATCACTTCCTGCATTCGGGGACTGAGAGGAGATGTGTAATTACAATGCCCGGCCGGGAAGCTGCTCGTCGGGCTCCACCGTCCTCTCATCGCAGACGAGTGGATTTTTCAAGATATAGATATCTGATAGATAATCGATTTAAGATTCTTTACTTTTTCAATTTTAACTTTATTACTAACTTTATTACTATTACAAGGGGCCAACAAGCCCCTATGTGATAGCTTTGGCAAGTTCTCTTTATGGAGACAAAAATAATGTCTCCCCTGCCCTCCACCACAGACATTCAAGCACAGGTGCCAAGATGATTAAATGGCACCTCTGAAGGCTGGTACAAGCAATCAAGTGGCTCCATAGCTGACCAGATCACTTGTACTCTAAAGCTGGCCATACAGTTATAGATTTTCGAGCGGAAATGTTCACTGCTGCCGAGAACCCTCATTCAATTCTAGCTCAAATAGCCCATCAAGCACAGACTAATGTCGATTTCAATAATCGTTAGTTAGCAATACTAACTCACCGAATGTTGTCGATCGACAGAACGGATTTTTGTTTGCGCATGTGCAGTGTGCTTGAATAGATTTTTTTCTATATGAAAACGCCACTAACCCATCGTTATTGTTTAGATTTGATGGACCACTTGGCCTTTTTCTGTCACCATGCTAGGTTTCAGGCAAACCCTACAACATCCAGGTTAGTGGGGTCCAGACTCCGCACTCAAAAAGCAAAAGCTGAGGACGGCAATGCTGGATAGCCGCAATTGAAGTTTTAGCAGGGACAAAAGAGTCTTGATTGAAAGAAGAA